AGGGCAGCTCCACCGCGCGGGCCTCAGTCTGCGTCGATGATGAGTAGCTTTCTTCACCAGCGCAAGGTGAGGAAAACTTCTAACAGCCGCTAGCAGCTGCTCGCATCAGGTGGACCTGGAGCAGGACCTCAAACAACAGGCTTGGGCCTCTTGGACAGGCACCCTGCCACCGTGGTAGTCAATCCCTTGCTACTGGGCAACGAAAACTGATCTTTGGCCCCAACTAGTGAAAGTTGCATTTGAAAGGCTGTCTTGCCGGCCAGTAGCGTGTTGGCAACGGAGCGCGTGTTTAGTGCGGCAGGAGGTATTGTAAACTCCAGCGGAGGAACACGACTGTCCACCCCAAGTGTGGAGAGACTCACGTTTGTGAAAAGGAATCAGGCTTGGATTAGTCTGGATTTCAAACCACCAGTTTCCGGACACAATGGACTAAATCGGCATGAAATCATGCCAAACATAAAAAATAAGGAATGCTGCGCTACATTCAAATCAACACAAATGTGTAGTGGGGCGATCCCAAGATATTATTAAATAAAAAAATGTGACAATGTTATCAAAACTTGGTCTATACGTGCTCCAACTTTGATAATTAACATAAATTCAAATAAAAAACATTGCTCAAAAACATGTGGGAACACAAAAAAACAATTTCGCTTATTGATTATATGTGCAGTAAACCAAAAAAACACATAATATAATGTAATTCACACGTGCCTATTGTGAAGTGAAAAATAACCATAATAATGGTACACACAAACTTATATCTCAAAGTCCAAAATATAAATATTGTTGGTGAACCAAACAGTAAACGGTGCTTCCAAAATGTACTGTTAGTGACCACAGGTGAAAACTCGTGCAGGTTTCTGGGTGTATACAGATCTGCGAATCCAACCACCATCTGAATTAGCCTCTCCCCTTATCCCTTCGACCCTTTGCAGATCAAAGAGCAGTAGTGGATCCCTCTCACAGATCCTCCAGGCATCAAAACACTCCAAAGACAGTTTTTCTCAGAGTATAATATTCCCACTACGGCTCTTCTCCAGGAAAAGTTGTAATATCAATCTCTCAAAATGAGACAAAGGAATCCTCCCATAGTGTAGTATATTTAATTATACCATAGGAACATGTAGCATATTTACATTGAAACTTACGTAGCACCAGTCCAAGAACAAACCTCATGCTTTCAGATGAGGATATATCTGTTGGGTGTACAGCTGCATGCACAGGTGTACCAAGATGGCCGCCACACGCCGGAAATACGTCACCGCGCGTTAAGCCGACGCGTTGCGTCACAGTGTCATGCCCTGATGAAGTCACATGACACTGTGACGCAACTTTGGAGTGTTTTGATGCCTGGAGGATCTGTGAGAGGGATCCACTACTGCTCTTTGATCCGCAAGGGTCGAAGGGATAAGGTGAGAGGCTAATTCAGATGGTGGTTGGATTCGCAGATCTGTATACACCCAGAAACCTGCACGAGTTTTCACCTGTGGTCACTAACAGTACAATTTGGAAGCACCGTTTACTGTTTGGTTCACCAACAATATTTATATTTTGGACTTTGAGATATAAGTTTGTGTGTACCATTATTATGGTTATTTTTCACTTCACAAAAGGCACGTGTGATTACATTATATATATGTGTTTTTTTTGGTTTATGCACATATATATAGATATTGTTTTTTGTGTTCCCACATGTTTTTGAGCTATTTATTTGATTTATGTTATTATCAGTGAGCACGTATAGACCTGTTTTGATAACATTGTCACATTTTTTATTTAATATTTTGGGATCCCACATTCACATTTTGTTTGATTTGAATGTAGCGCAGCATTCCTTATGTTTTATATTTACTTAATCACTGGTATATGATTTAATGCTAGCAGCTCTCTTTGGGATTTACACACATATTTAATTGATTTATTTAATTTTCTAAATATACACTTGGAGCGCAGGAGGGTCACACCATCACTGTTACATGCCCCAAACATGTTATTATTTTTAACATAGGCCTCTGTATGGCCTTCAATTTAAGCTGCTTACGCTTCGCCACTCTGCCATGGGCCCCTGTACCCGCCCTCCTCTTGCTGCTGCCAGGTCCAGAGTGTGTCATGGGTCCCTGTACGGCCTCCCATTGCTGCTGTCTCCATCGCCACACTCTGCCATGTGCCACTTTCAGGTCTCCTCACACTGCTGGTGGGTTCCATTTTGTCATAGGGTGCTGGCAGATTACGGGCCTCCCATTGCTGCTGCCAGGCCCTAATCTGCCATGGGCCCCCGTACCGACTCCTCATGCTGCTGCCAGGCCCGTAATCTGTCATGGGCCCCTGTACCGCCTCCTCATGCTGCTGCCAGGTCCAGAGTGTGTCATGGGTCCCTGTACGGTCCCATTGCTGTACAGGCCCGTAATCTGCCTGGGCCCCCGTACCGACTCCCATGCTTGCCAGGCCCGTAATCTGTCATGGGCCCCTGTCTCCATGCGCCCAGGTGCACACTCTGGGCCATGTGCCACTTTCCAGGTCTGCCATGTGCCACTTTCAGGTCTCTCACACTGCTGGTGGGTTCCATTTTGTCATAGGGTGCTGGCAGATTACGGGCCTCCCATTGCTGCTGCCAGGCCCGTAATCTGCCATGGGCCCCCGTACCGACTCCTCATGCTGCTGCCAGGCCCGTAATCTGTCATGGGCCCCTGTACCGCCTCCTCATGCTGCTGCCAGGTCCAGAGTGTGTCATGGGTCCCTGTACGGCCTCCCATTGCTGCTGTCTCCATCGCCACACTCTGCCATGTGCCACTTTCAGGTCTCCTCACACTGCTGGTGGGTTCCATTTTGTCATAGGGTGCTGTATGGCCTCCCATTGCTGCTGCCAGGCCCGTAATCTGCCATGGGCCCCCGTACCGCCTCCTCATGCTGCTGCCAGGCCCGTAATCTGTCATGGGCCCCTGTACCGCCTCCTCATGCTGCTGCCAGGTCCAGAGTGTGTCATGGGTCCCTGTACGGCCTCCCATTGCTGCTGTCTCCATCGCCACACTCTGCCATGTGCCACTTTCAGGTCTCCTCACACTGCTGGTGGGTTCCATTTTGTCATAGGGTGCTGTATGGCCTCCCATTGCTGCTGCCTCCACCGCCACACTGTGGCTCCACACTCTGGTTTTGGCCCCGTGACTGCCCAAATGAGTGAAGTGTGCGGTGATTCTAAGATCGACGGCACTCATCTGCATGTCATACTGACTGACAGTATTATTTCTCTTCCCCAGCAGACTCCAAGGGCATTTAAATTAAAGGTACAGTGTTCTGCACTAATATAAAGGCTCTCTGAAGCCTAGAAACACCCTTTTTATAAGTTAAATTCGCAGCGAATATATTCGCCTCGAATCAAATTTATTCCTCGAATTCGCCGAATCAGCCGAATCGAATTTTTGAATACTTCGCTCATCTCTAATTGTAAACAACACAGAGCTCTGTCTTTACAGCAGGAATGAGCCAGGTTTCGTTTCTCTGCAAAGCAGAGAATAAATACTAGGACATCCCTTAATAAAACAGTGCACAGTGAATACACCAAGCACTGTTAGGCACACAAGTAACCCTTTGATTGCCTCTAGATGTTAACCCTTTCCCAGCCAGTGTCGTTAGTAAAGTGTCGGTGTATATTATTAGCACTGATCACTGTAATAGTGTCACTGGCTCTCACAAAGTGTTAGTTCATGTCAGATTGCCCGCCATACTATCACAGTCCCGCTGTAAGTTGCTGATCACTAAAAATAAATATACACTCATTGGACACTTTATTAGGTCCACCTGTTCAATTGCTTGGTAACAAAAATTGCTAATCAGCCGATCACATGGCAGTAACTTAATGCATTTAGGTATCGAAATATGGTGAAGACGATTCGCTGAAGTTCAAACTGAGCATCAGAATGGGGAAGAAAGGGGATTTAAGTGGCTTTGAACGTGGCATGGTTGTTGGTGCCAGACGGGCTGGTCTGAGTATTTAAAAAACTGCTGATCTACTGGGATTTTCGCGCACAGCTATCTCAAGGGTTTACGGAGAATTGTCCGAAAAAGCACCTCATGCAGCATTCTGCGCTGTGCTCTTGCAGTCATTTTTACAGGACGACCACGCCTAGGAAGAGTAGCAACAGTGCTAAACTTTCTCCATTTGTAGACAGTCTGTCTTACCGTGGACACATGAACATCAAGGCTTTTGGAGATACTTTTGTAACCCTTTCCAGCTTCATGCAAGTCAACAATTCTTGATCGTAGGTCTTCTGAGAGCTCTTTTCTGCGAGGCATGGTTCAAATCAGACAGTGCTTCTTGAAACCAGTAAACCCAAAACAGGTGTGTGTTTTTTAAGGGCAGGACAGCTGTCAGCAACACATCCAATATCATCACACTGATTGGAGTCAAGGTTGGCTCACTCCTGGCTCCAATTAGCTCTGGGAGAAGTCATTAAGCTAGGGCCTCACATACTTTTTTCCTCCCTGCACTGTGAATGTTTACATGTTATGTGCAATTAAACCATGGCAACATCTAATGTTTGTGTAGTATTATGTTCAGCAGACTGTGTTCTTCTATAGTTGTGACTTAGATGACGTTCAGAGCACATTTTATGCCCAATTCATGCAAAACTCCACATAAACCCAAGGGGTTCACATACTTTTTCTTGCAACTGTATTTCTCTCCCATGGGACTTTTATGGCAATGTATAGATCATACAATACATTTTTTTTGTAAATGAAACACAATCAAACTTTATTTACAACCTTTCTAAATATAAAACCACATATTCCCTGACATGTGTACATAGTATAACATCTATTATGGAATACCCATATTGTCCATGGTCAGTTATTATAGTACATTTTCCATAGTGCTTAGCTTTTCTGCACCATTACCAGACCTGGACAACCCATTGCGTTTTTGGAAAGTCCTTCTTCAGGGCCTATGTCAGGGGGTATGCTATATCTACCGTACAATTCAAATTATTAATGACATATTCCTTAGTTTAGATTCAGATATCTTTACGGTGTATATGCCATACTCCCATCTACTATTGTTCAAAAAAGAAAACAAAAAACAGCCATTTGATGAGAATAAAGTCAAGGTTGCCATGCTCACATCCCTCAACCTTACAAGAGGTCCAAGCATCCCCAAAGGAACATCGTGTATCTACTGAGGTCACCTGGAAGTGCAGCTAAGAGAATACAGAATTGCACTCCTTAAATCTCTCAGGACTGACCACTTGCATGCCCTTGAAAGACTCTGTGCAGGCCACAAAAATAAAAAGAATAAGTTCCATAGCATAAAATCTTTTTATTGATTAAAATACATAAAACCAATTGAACTCACATTGCTTCATGCTGCCCTCCAGCACCCAGGTATAGCCAGGGGCGTATTTGCCACAAAGCAGACAAGGCATTTGCCTATGGCGGCATTTCTCAGAGGGGCAGCGGCACTCCCCTTCAGAAGGGATGGAAAAGAGACACACGTAGCATGGGGACCAGGTGGGATCTGAGAGAGGCTGTGGACTGCTTGATGGTATATGTAGAGCCTGACTCTTGTTCCTGGGGATATCCGGAGCTGTGAAGGTGTCTTCTCTCTTACCGAGGTATGGGGGGGGGGGTTGCAAGTGTATGGGGGTGGGTGGTAGTGGAAGGCTCTCTTGGGTGAGTGAGGGGTTGGGGTGTTGTTGGTCAATGTCAGGCACTCTTTGTGTGGGAGGAGGGTGTTGGTTGGTGTCAGGGTCTCTCTGTGGGGGGCAATTTTTGTGTTGCCTAGGGCAGCACGAAACCTAAATACACCACTGGGTATAGCACTTGTTTCTCTCTGGTACCAGCACCACCACGCAGCCTGGTGTGAGATTGGTCCGTGGGTGGGACCAACACTTTATTATTTTTTTCATGGTCTGCAATAGCACAAAGGTAACTGGTCCTGAGAGATTTAAGGAGTGGTGGATAACTCTGCTGGAGTGGTGGAAATGACCTTTTTGAGCACAAGTTGACCCACAGCTGAGTGGGTCATTATATCTGGTTAGCAAGGGGTGCAGGTCAAGATTATGCTCGTGGTGACTGAAAGAAAAGGAGTGGAGGAATGGACACAGCACAATAAATATTTTTTTTAAAATCAAAATAGGTTTATTGAGAATAAGAGCACAGAAAAAATGAACACAATACACAATAGTGCATCTCTGGTACAAATTCAATAACAGCATAATATTCAGAATGCAAGCATAGACACTGAAGAATATGCAAACCAAGCATCTAAAACACAAAGAAGAGCTCCCAGCTAGTAGAATACATTTTCCCAAAATGGAGTCTGAGTGCAGAGTACAACATATTAGAGCCATGTACCGTCCCCAGTAGTCAACGTGTAACATAAACTATATTGTCAAAAGTATTGGACTTTATGGACTTTAATGGCCCCCCAGTCTTAGTCCGTAGGGTTCAATACTAAGTTTGCCCCGCCCTTTGCAGCTATAACAGCTTCAACTCTTCTGGGAAGGCCGTCCGCAAGGTTTAGGAGGGTGTCTATGGGAAGGTTTGACCATTCTTTCAGAAGCACATTTGTGAAGTCAGGCACTGATGTCGGGGGAGGAGGCCTGGCTCACAGTCTCCACTCTAATTCATCCCAAAGGTACTCTATCAGGTTGAGGTCAGGGCTCTGTGCAGGACAGTCAAGTTCCTCCACCCCAAACTGGTTCCTCCATGTCTTTATGGACCTTGCTTTGTGCACTGGTGCACAGTCATGTTGGAACAGGGAGGGGCCATCCCCAAACTCTTCCCACAGTTTGGAGCATGAAAATGTCCAAAATGTCTTGGTATGCTGATGCCTTAAGAGTTCCCTTCACTGGAACTAAGGGGCCAAGTCCAACCCCTGAAAAACAACCCCACACCATAATCCCCCCTCCACCAAACTTTACACTTGGCACAATGCAATCAGGCAATTATTATTCTCCTGGCAACTGCCAAACCCAGACAGGTCCATCAGATTGCCAGACATTAAAGCGTAATTGGTCACTCCAGAGAACATGTCCCCACTGCTCTAGAGTCCAGTGGCGGCGTGCTTTACACCACGACATCCGACGCTTTGCATTGTAAGGCTTGGATGCAGCTGCTCGGCTATGGAAACCCATTCCATGAAGCTCTCTATGCACTGTTGTGCTAATCTGAAGGCCACACCAAGTTTGGAGGTCTTTAGCTATTGACTCTGCAGACAGTTGGTGACTTCTGCGCACTGTGCGTTTCAGCATGCGCTGACCCCGCTCTGTCATGTGACATGGCCTACCACTTGGTGGCTGAGTTGCTGTTGTTCCCAGTTGCTTCCACTTTGTTATAATCCACTAACAGTTGAGCGTGGAATATTTAGTAGCCAGGAAATGTCATGGATGGACTTATTGCACAGGTGACAACCTATCACGGGACCACGCTTGAATTCACTGAGCTCCTGAGAGCGACCCATTCTTTCACCAATGTTTGTAGAAGCAGTCTGCATGCCTAGGGGCTGATTGTATACACCTGTGTCCATGGAGGTGATTGGAACACCTGAATCACATGATTTGGAGGGCTGGCCCAATACTTTTGGCAATATACTGTATATAAGCTGTATCAAAATGGGCTAAAAGAGCATATTAGTTACTAATTCTAATAGGATAAGTCCAGGACCATCCAGCCATGGAGCCCATACCCTTTCAAACTCATCAGGGCAACCCCTATGCTGGTAAATACACTGCTCAAAAAAAAAAGGAACACTTTTTAATCAGAGTCTAGCATCAAGTCATTTAAACTCCTAGGATATTGATCTGGTCAGGTAAGTAGCAGAGGGGGTTGTTAATCAGTTTCAGCTGCTTTGGTGGTAATGAAATTAACAACAGGTACACTAAATGGGCAACAATGAGATGATCCCCAAAACAGGAATGGTTTTAAGGTGGAGGCCACTGACATTTTTCCCCTACTCATCTTTTCTGACTGTATTTCACTAGTTTTGCATTTGGCTAGGGTCAGTGTCACTACTGGTATCATGAGGCCATACCTGGACCCTACAGAGGTTGCACAGGCAGTCCAACTCCTCCAGGATGGCACATCAATACGTGTCATTGCTGGAAGGTTTACTGTGTCTCACCTACACTGCATCTGAGCACCACAATCCGCTATTTAATTCATTTTTAACATTCAAAGCAAACCCCCCCCCCCATCCATCCTTTTCTCCATGCATTATTTTACTGATAAATAACTTTGAAAAACACCCCCTCCCCCACCGGCTAGCATTTCTGGTCTTGGCCAACTTGAGTAAAGGCAGATGATTCATGTAGGCATATAAGTACTTTAAAACAGGGTATGTAAATGCATTGGTGTACAATGAGTCCTAATATGAGTCTCTCAGGCAATCTGCCTGGAATCTATTTTAGCACAAAAAGATGGCAGCCATCCTCGGAGCAAGCCAACTCTGTATGCAGGGACAGAAGAAAAGAGACAGGAGGCGCCGTCTGAGTGTAGTAATAACACTGTATTTAACAGCCAAGGATTAAAAACACTCACAAAGGAAGTAATAAAACAAGCTCATCTGTGTATATGAGAGATGAACGTTCCTCAAAAACGTCTTGCAGGCGCCTCCAGTACAGGGGCGGACTGACCATTTGGAAACTCGGGCACTGCCCGAGAGCTTGGGGTCAGTAGGGGGCCCCATGAGATGCCCCTGGTACCTTTTCCATAGGCTTTTTTGGAGTTTGGGCAAGGACACAGGAGCCCCATGATCCCCTATTGCCCGGGGGGCCCCATAAGCTGTCAGTCCGCCCCTGCTCCAGTGGTTAGTGCAATAGCAGCTTGGCTGATGGAGATGGTAGGAGACACTGTACACTGTAGTGGTCCATCCTGCAGATTGGTGGTGGTGTAGAACTAATCCAGCGGCAATTGTGTAGGAAGGAGCCTAGTCTAGATAAAGGAGCCTACTTCCAGATAGCCTGTGTGCACCTAACTTCCTAATCACTTTACTCCTACACTGAAAACCCATGGAATATTATCATCCCTGACCAGTGCCTATTTGGGGCTTCTCTGTTATGTTATAAAGATGGGGAAAACAGAAGGTGTTGTAGTCCAAACAATTTCTGCTCTATGGTGACAACTTTTCCTCCACAGATACAGTACAGTGAGTGTAAGGGAATTCCTGGCGCATAGAAATGCACATGTGCGCAACATCGCGCATAGAAATGAGCACGGGCATATTGCTAATAAAAATGAGCATAGGCTTGCGCATGCATGCAAGAATGCGTGCACACGGGTACACACATGCGGGAGCGTGCCCACAGTGTCTGGCGCCAGAAGGACTATTTAAAGGAGGCTCTTACTGTCTGTCAGTGCTGACTGGTCTTCAGCTATTACCTTGTGTCCTGCTATATCCAGTGTGTATCCGTTAACGACCCAACTTGCCATTGACCTGCTCTTGGATTCTGCTTATGCTTCTGCTCATCGATTTCTGATCCTGGCTTCCTCCTGACCTTGTCCCTGTTTGATGTTCCGGTACCTCATCGCCTGCTCGTTGCTGACCCTGGCTATTACTCTGACTACGCTTCCGGCTCCAGTTTGGCTCTACAGTCCTCCCCTCTGATGATGTGCCTTAGCACGAAAGGCCTTAGGAGGAGCTGAGAGAGCGTGACGTCAATTTGCCGCCGGAGCCACGAGGAAGCCCGGCGGCGCGGCCATCTTTTAAAGGGTCAGTGTTGCGATTTTACATGTGCTTGTCATTTTGCTTCTATTCTGCATACTACCCTAAAAAATGTGTTATTACAAAGCATTCTTTTTTTATAAATACTACACTATCTGGCACCTGTTATCTGGCTCCAATGTGGAGCTATTAAACCCACAGAAAGTTCCTATATCCAGTATCCAGAGGAGGGAGCCCTGTATCCAGGCTGAGCGCCCATCAATCCTTAAGGGGACCTCTGGACAAAGCAGATTCTCAGACTAAACCAGGCTTGATGACCAGGCTCTAGAGGGATGCTCACCACCCTGTCCACTACGGATCATCACCTTGTGGTTTATATCTATATGCGCAATTTCTATGCTCTTCTGGTGAGTGCGCACCCCTTCCATTTTGATTCCAGTCACAAGTTTACTGAGATATCTGCCTCATTGGAAAACCATCACTTGTGCCATTTTTGAACTATTAATAATTTTTTTGTCTACATGAGCTCATAACTTGCTATTTATTCATTTACTGATATATTTATCAAGGCTGCACTTTATATTTAGTCCTGCTGAGTGCTTGTCCTGGCTATCTATTATATCAGCTCCGGTTGTCACAGTGTGTTCCGGCCTCACGCTTATCAGAAGTTCCGGCAAGTCATGTACCCAGATCTTGCAATTCCAGTGGAGTGCTTCAGCTGGCCGTTCTGGCATCTCCTCTGTTCCTGACTGGATGCCCTGCTTGATTTATCAAAGTTACACCTCCAGCCACAAGTTCTGCAATCAACTTCTACAGGCACTCGTGTTCCTCCTGTCCCTCGGCACCATCTGTTTCACCTTTAGTGGGGCCTGGGCTGGAGATACAAGAGAGGCTGACCTCGTCAATTCAGACTTCTATCAGGTGCGTGAGTGTTAAGGATCCGGGTATGACCAGAAATGTGTGGGAACACAGGCGTAGTCAGGGCTGGAGAGGTGGAATGGTCAGGCAGGCCGTTAGGTACTGTCAGGCACTGCCCGGCGGGATCTCTAGTACCCACAGAACGGGATTCCCCAGGGCGCGGAGTCTAAGCCCCAGTCTGCCTTTTCACCAGAGCCCCTGATGGTGGGGATGGACTTGGTGCAGGACTGAGACCAGGTCGCGGCCCCTGAGTGCACCCAACTGTGGTAGAGGGGTCCGCCGAGGGTATGTACCAGGGGAAAGCCTGACGTGAAGAGGCTGGCAGACCTGGTAACAGGGACAGATCTGTGCGGGATGGATGGATCGTCTGGGTAGCGTCAGGCGTAGTCAGGCAGGCCAGGTCAGCAACGTGCGGGCAGCGAGGTACCGGAGGAGCAGGCAGAGAATAGTCAGGGTCACAAGCCGGGTTCAGTAACTCACGGGCAGCGCGGTACAGAAGATCAGGCAGAAGGATGGTTAGGCAAGCCAGGGATCAAGCAGGAGAAGTCAGCAGAGGTTAGGATCAGGCAGGGTCGGCAACAAATCAGATAGTCAGCAGAACAGGAACACAGGATACACGGTACAGGGGGCTCATGGGAAACACACACCAAGGCCCTGACTGCAGGTCTGGCCATTCCTTAAATACACCTCCTGCAATCAGCCTCAGGTGATGGCTGATTGCAGGAGTGAGCTTCTGGCTGCTGAGAGCACCCGCTGGCCAGCCCTGGTACTGCAGCCCACACAGCCGGAGAGTCCCACCACCAGTGCTGAGTCCATTCCTGACAGTGAGAGTGAGAGAACATTGTCACCCTAAACAGAAAGTATGTTACTGGGAGAAAATCGAGGTAATAATAAAGGGCAGAAAGCCTTTAGAAATGAATCAGCCTACTTGATCTAATGGTAATCTGAAATAATACATTTTTTTTAATTCTTGGGTTCACCATCAAGTTTTGGGACCTTTATAAGTGTAGTGTCATCCGTATCCCCACCGTGTTCCCTAATATACTGCTATATCCTTACTGCAGGTAGGTAGGTGGTCTTTTTCCTGTTCCTTGGGGCCCCTTCAGGATACCAATGGTCAAACCTGGACACAACTGCGAGATCTCGGAAAGTGAGTGCACTCAAGTCACCTCAGATTGCAAACACTTCAGCTTTATTGGCATAACATCATGGTTTTTATACTGTAGCCTTTGTAGACACACTTTCAGACCATCCAATCAAATAAATGTACATTATCTTTACCTTAACTCAGCAATTATTTGTATGAGGTCTGCATTTACACTCAGGTTTCTGTCTTATCTTTCACACCATATCTGGCCTAACGCCCAGACCGTGGCTATAAGCTGGCCCAACGTCCGAGCCGTGGTTACAACCGGGGGTGGACTGACCATTTGGAAACTCGGGCACTGCCCGAGGGCCCGGGGTCAGTAGGGGGCCCCATGAGATGCCCCTGGTACCTTTTTCATAGGCTTTTTTGAGTTTGGGCAAGGACACAGGGGCCCCATGATCCCCTATTGCCCGGGGGCCCCATGATTTGTCAGTCCGCCCCTGTTTACAACTTTTCAGAAATGAGAGTAAAAGGTTATCTCCTTTTTTTGTAACGTTTGTAAAAACACTTATTTCTACATGAAGCTGGCATAGACAGTTTTGTTGGTGTGTACAAGGTTCATATATATATATATATATATATATATATATATATGTGCTAAACAAGCATCTTGTATTAGTGTGTACAAAATGGATTCGGTTATATTCCATTAATCCTTTCACTTACCATTTACAATTTCTGTACATGATCTCATTTTATACTATTATTTCTATTGTATTTTATATGAATATTGTGCCAATAGAGGACAATACCCCCATGGTGACAAGCTGAGCAATCCCTGGACTCTTCCACTAAAGGCTCACATTATGTTATTAAATATAATTGTGCCTATTGCCGTTTCTGCTGTGGAAAGCAATTCTCTGATGGTGTTTCTACTTCTTGCAGTATGAGTTCTCGCACTAGAATATATCATTCCAGTTGGGACTTTA